GCTCGCTAATGCACATGGACATATGTGCTTGTGGTGTTTTAAAAATGAGGGCACGTCGTCCACTGTTGTCACGTGCTGTCCTGATTGAAAAGTAAAGAATATCGGCCCATTATGAAAAATTCCACTCTTTAGAGAAATTGGTGGGTGAGAAAGTTCACAGCGATCCATAATGATCTTTTTAAGAAGGCCAGTATTCACAGTAAGGTATATGGTGTTCTAACGCACGCGGCGAGGTAGCGTAGAGTAGGACCACAGGCTGTCTGGGGTGCCTAACCAAAGAATGCCTTCCTGAGGGAGAAGAGTTGAGGTATGTGTTTACCACCACATCCTGTTGTCTACAGATCGTTCTCTATCTCGGTTCAAAGAAAAAGACAAGAATCTCAGCAAAGGTTACTAGAACTTTAGGTAGGTTTCAACAGGGAATCGCTTCGTTGTTTACACCACAGAGCTAGAGGCTTCTATAGATTTGATTGCTGCACCTGATAGGGGCTGCTGCCCTCGCAGAGCAGACGGCCTCCACGCGCAGCTGGCGAACTTGCAGCTCCTATCAGACAATCGGAGGAAATCCACGTATAAATTTCTCCATGCAAGGAAAGGTGGTTTTTCCATTTGCCTTTTTCTGAGCAATTTAACTTCCTAATTACATGGTCCAAATTGTTTCGGAGACTATGTAAACCATATGTGTGTTAAATGATAGAGACAAACATGGGGAAGTCTGATTAGCATCAACTTCCCTCCGGAAAGGGGTGTCTTTCCCAGCCCCGCTGAGGCCGTGCTATCGTGGACGTGGGGGAGGAAGCCGAGTGGGGCAATAGTTTGTAAGCCGCTGCCTCTGCCTGTGGATTCGCCCCTCTTCCTCCTGGTGAGGCACATATTTTAGCCCAGAGTTATCCTTTTGGTAGCAGCATGAGCAAGTAAGGTGCTGACAGACGTGAGCAGAATGAATTTCATCCAGTATTTAGCAGATTCTGAGAGGAGAAAATATGGTTATTTTGAACTTTCAGGAGGTTGAGTGTGTGAGCCTGGATGTGTGGGAGAAGATGGACGTGCTAGCGAGATGGAGTCGCTTTTTAGTTTTTGTCCTGTTGGGTTTGAACACTAGAAGGTGAGCATAAATAATCAATTTATTTCACTACTGTTAAATGAAGTGAAGGGTTTATTTTCTAATATAAGTCTATTAAAAAAGAAGTAAAGAAGTTGTAAGTGTTATTTATTGTGTAATAAACAAGTTTACATGTCTAGAAGAAATAATGATATTGGATAATTGCTGCTGAACCCGTTAAAAAAAAAAACAAAACACCACAAAGACATGTTTCCTGTGTCCTGTTTGGATGCAAAAGTCTGAACAGTGGGGCAGGTTCCCTGTTCGGTCATAATCAATGACACAGATGTGCAGAAGCACAGAAGCGGATTCCTCACAGAGCTGTAAAGTGGCCACAGTTCATCTTCCCAGGACAACAGGCAGAAATGGGGTCACACAGTCACCTCAGCTCTTAATGCTGTTATGATTGTCATTGCTTAAGAGAACAATAAAAAAAAAAAAAAACACTCTTCATTTTTCTACTTTTTCTGGCCTTAATTGCCCCCAGAAGAAAGATTCAGAGCATTAATGAAACACACTAGTGGATATTGTTTGTATTTATATAAACACTAGGGAAAAGAGGAACTCAGAAAATTGAAAGGAGAAGAAAGACTGAACTAGTTTATTCATGCCTGTTTACATGGCCTTCCTGTGGCCTCTTGGTCTTGGATTCTAGTGGGGACTGCCGCATAGGTGGAACTTGAGTCATCTTGAATGATGGTTCCTTTGCCTTTTATTTCTTTGGAAATAGGAAGAATACCTGTGCAGTGTCATTGTTTAGGGCACTACCTGAATACCCATGCACACGCGTTAGGATGCTTGCATTTCTCTGAGCAAACAAAATTATTTTTAACTGGAAAGTGGTGTCTTTGCCTAACCAACCATCTTGTTTACCTTGTGAGTTGGACCAGAAGATTAAAAGGAACAGACAGAGCACGGTAACAATGAAGCCCTCATTCATCTCATTCTTTCTCTTGTTTTTGATGTTTTGATGTTGTTGAGATTTTATTTTAGTTCTTTTGCTTTTATGTTTTGTGGTTTGGTGTTTATCCTGAGTCCTGAGCTGTTAAGTCGATGTTTGAGATATCTAGACATTATAAACTTCCCTGAACTGCCAAAAATTGACTGCTTTGTTTCTGGTAAAATGGCCTGTTAAAAATAGAACCTGGAGAACCTGGGTGGCTCAGTTGGTTAAGCGGCCAACTCCTGATTTCAGCTCAGGTCGTGATCTCAGGGTCGTGGGATCAAGTCCACGTCAGACTCTGAACTCAGTGGGGAGCCTGCCTGAGAGTTTCCCTCTGCCCCTTGCCATGCTCATGCTTAATCTCTCACTCTAGAATATATATATATGTATATATACACACATATATATATTTATATAAATGTATATATACATATATATATATATTTATCTAACCTTATTTGTTTGTAAAGTGTAGTATCTTGCTTTCTCTTTTTGTAAAAATCATATGAACTTTGTGAAACCTTATTCTGATGTGAGAACTATTTTTATATATCCTGACTGTGGCCGTCTTGGTCTGCAGGCAGTTTCAAGAGAGCTTTGGAAGTGATCTTGCCATGGGAACTCTCAGTTAATACAGATGATGCCCTAACAACAAGTTAGACTTGATCAGAAGGTAGTATTTTGCTTTTATAGATAACTGCTTGCTGTCTTTTTGAGGGGGGTATCCATCAAACTACATTTTGGTAAAGATTTTTAAAGTTGTCTAGGGAGAGTTATAAGGAAAGGGTTGACAGGCAGATGTCCATCACTGAATGAGAGAAATTCTAAGAAATCTTGAGCAAAGTGGCCTATCCTGAAATTCCTAGTGTAGTTGATTAGGCGCAAGGGGTTTCCTTTTCTCTTAGTTCTCCTGAGTTCATACATTTGCAATTACTTTTAATTAAGGTAAATAGTCAGTTTTGTTCCTAGAATATATTAGGATACATTACATAATCATCCATTTATTCAGCAGTTATTTCTAGAGCTCTCCCACGTTTAGCTGCAAGGGTACACATGCAGGCAGAGTAGAGGGAGAGTTGGATCTATTCAGGGTTGGGATTTGCCAAGGAGGTGAGTGTGTTTGCACGGAGTGATTATAACCACATACTGTAACTACAAGAGGCCCAAGCTGGGTAATTTAATAAGTATGAATGAGAGGGCGTGAAGGGTTTAAGGACAGGGGAAATGTGATAGAGTAAGAGGGCTAAAGAATGACTGGGATTGAGGATTAGAAGAAAGAAGGGAATTGGAGAGACGATAGTTGAAGAGGGTGACTGACAATGGGATTACAGAGACGTTGCGGTTGATGGCAATGGCAAGGTCTGAGGTATGGCAATGGTGGGGTAGCTGAAGGAGAGAGGATAAGATGGTTGGCGAAGAGGAAGTCAAGGAACTGAGAAGCCAGAGTAATGCAACGCTCCCCTCCATGGAAACTCAAGAAGGTCGTGTTGGGGAGACACCATAGCCAGCAACTAAACTCAAAAGGGGCGATGACTCATAAGGAGTCTGTCCCTGACTTTGATTATGAGGCAGAGCCAGACAGCATGAGCTTCTAAGCTAAAGACTTTTTGGGAAGAGGAAGTGATCATTTTCTGGCAGCAGCAACAAGAAACAAGCTGGCAGAGAACCTTCAGAAGAGGCCACATTTTCCAGGGACAGCCAAATTTCTCTTAAGGCCAGAAAGGGAGGGTTCAAGGACAAGGCTGAGGATTTGTTAAGATCTTGCTGGATTCCTTTCGTGAGGTAAATTTCCCGAGGACCCAGTAGAAGGGGTTCAGAAATCAGCTGAGGAGTTCAGGGAAGGTGGGGCCAGACCAGGCGTGTTCACAGTGCTATGGGAATGAGAGTCCAGGGGAGTGAGGACTACTGGGGATCTTGGGCAAAAGCGGGGATAGAGAAATCAGTGCTGATAGTTTCTGAAGCAGGTGGTGAGGCTATGTGTTGGGAGGACAGACAGCTCAGGCAGACCTCTGACACTTTCCTTCTGCCCTGTGCCTGGTAGTTTGGAGGCTGGGAGTGAGCCCTTGTTACCCAGAGCGTGGGTAGGTTTGGGAGTCGCTCTTTATTCTGTGGACAGAGGGAAGACTGGGGAAGCATACGTGTCTGAGCATTACCACTATGTGTGTATGTCTCTCTTGTGACAACAGTTCCAGCATAATGTAAGATGAAAGTGAGAGCATTTATAATTATTATTTTTTATTGTGTTATGTTAGTTACTGTGCAGTACCTCATTAGTTTTTGATGTAATGTTCCAAGATTCATTGTTTACGTATAACACCCAGTGTTCCTTCCTTAATACCCACCACCAGGCTCTCCTAACCGCCCCCCCCCCCCCCCTAAAACCCCCAGTTTGTTTCTCAGAGTCCACAGTCTCTCGTGCTTCATCTCCCCCTCCAATTTCCCCCAACTCACTTCTCCTCTCCATCTTCCCATGTCTTCCGTGTTATTCCTTATGCTCCACAAGTAAGTGAAACCATATGGCAGTTGACTCTCTCTGCTTGACTTATTTCACTCAGCATAATCTCTTCCAGTCCTGTCCATGTTGCTACAAAAGTTGGGTATTCATCCTTTCTGATGGAGGCATAATACTCCATAGTATATATGGACCACATCTTCTTTATCCATTCGTCCGTTGAAGGACATGTTTACTATTGCTTTTTAAACCTGAGATAGAATTTAGCATAATACAGAGAAATAGTAATTTGCGGGCTTAATTTGGGAAGTGTATATTGATTCATAATCATTGTATATATATATATAATTCAGATTCCAGCTCACATTTGAAAATAAATCATTCTATCCTTCTCCTTCCTTCCCCCCGCCCAACACCTTCTCCCCAAAGGCCACATGAAAACTGACCATGTCACAGTCCTATCCGCTGAATTGTTGACATGTTCTTTTCCCTTTTCCTCACAGTGAAGAAAGTTACAACGTCAATGATTATTCCTTAAGAGATCAGCTACTGGTGGAATCTTGTGACAACGAAGAGCTGAATCCCTCTCCAGGGAAGAACAGTTCCACGATGCTTTATTCAAGACAGAGCTCTGCCAACCACCTCTTCACTCTGACCATCCGTAGTAACCACGCGAGTGAGAAAGTGGAGATGCTGCTCGGGGCTGAGACGCAGTAAGTGTGTGCGGGGACAGGGTTGCAGCGTGTCTGCTCCCTGTCTTCCCTGCTTCCACGCCCTGGTCTAAGACTCCCTAAAAACAGTCAAGAGTAGCTACTCTATATTTTTTGCTGAGTACCTGTTAGGCACCAAGCACTGGGTCTGGGGGCTTCATCAACCTCATGTTTTCACTGTGATCCCCTCAACGTCTCGAGCAATGGACATGATTATTTTCACCTTCATGAATCCTAATGGATGCATTGTGCTTTAGGTGTGCTTTTATATTTAGAGAGTGGTTTAAAAAATCCCTTTATTTTAATCATTGATAAAGATAGGACCCATGAGCCTTGGGTTAGGTGACATCTGGTAGTTTGAGTCTCGGCCCTAAGTTTTCCTAGATAAGGGACCTGAGGCCATTTTGCAGTCAGTTACCATCAACCAGACAGCAAATACCCCATGATTTCTATCCAAAGATATACTCCGTTTGGGAAAACATTAGTGAATCCACTTTCCCATCAGAGTTGATGCAGAAGCTAAATTAAATAAACAGTCCTGTTTGTGGCTGCTGGTGCACTGGTGGCTGAGGGCTTAGCCAGCCTCACACCGGACGAAGGCAAGAGGGCTTCATCTCTGAGTCCACTCCTTGTGATGTGGTCCATCTAGAGGTCGACGATCCGCTTGGAAACTGGAAACATCCTCTTGAAACAGTCATCATAGGCAGGGGTTCTATTGGGCGGAGCAGTAGAGGAAGAGGCGGGGAAGTCCCTCACTCTTTGTCCTCAGGGATCCTCCACGTCCCTCCCACTCGAGTGGGCTAGGGTTCCCACGTGGTGCGATTAAAGTGCACCGACAACTGGTGAATAACAACCCTAAGACTGTAACGAAAGCTCAGTGAAAATAAACCCAGGATGGTATCTCTCCTTCTTAAGGGTATTTTAACAGTGGTTCTCAGATCATTAAAGAGAGACATCTGAGAAAGATTAAAATTATCAAGCATCCAACTAGAACGTTTTAAATGATCATTTAAAGTAACTTCTCAAAGGCTAAGGAAGACCTAGAGGGACGGGTTGTTGTAAAATCTACTTAAGGTTTGAAAATGGCCCAAGTAGAGTATTCCAAATGAACTTGAGAGTTAGCCCAGGGAATAAGAAAAGAAGCTTCTTCCTTTGTGTTGTTTATAAAACAAAGAAATGCCTTTTTCTAAGGTCCTAGAGCTCTTCCCTGAAATTGCTAGAGAGCACAGCCGCATTCCAGGCGTGTTTGCTCCTCTGGGGGAGTGTGGTGCTAGCTGGTCTCTACAGGTGACCAGCAGGAGACATATCCAAGACCGGGCTCAGGAAGGCATTTCCTAACTCGGAAAGTGATTAAACCCCTCACAAGTGAAGACAGATCTAGCCTTCCTCTGTTTGGGGAAGCCTCTCTTAAAAAGAGAATTTTGTATGTCTGGGCTTTGGATCTTATAGGATGTTTTTTTGTTGTTGTTGTTTTGTTTTTTTTCAAGAGTAGGCTCCAAGCCCAGTGTGGAGTCCAATGTAGGGCTTGAACTCAGGACCCTGAGACCAAAACCTGAGCGGAGATCAAGTCGGACACTGAACTGACTGAGCCACCCAGGCGCCCCCTTATATGACTTTGAGGATGAAAAAGTCTTAAAGGCTTTGGAGATGAGTGATAGTCTAGACATTATCTAGAGACATCTCAGAAACAGATTTTCACTTGTCAGTTTTCGTTTGTAATGGTGAAAGTGTTACTGGTTTTGCTTTGTGTTTTCCTTTTCTCTCTGTTTATAAGGGTTCTTCTTTATTCAGGTCCTGCAACATTTCAGCAGAGCTTTTCCTGTCTCTTTCCAAATTCGTGTGACCTCCACCACTTGTTTTGAGATTATTCCAGAAGAGTAGGAAGTAAACTGACATGTCCAGTTCTTTATGTTCCAAGGCTAGATCCTCTCCTGGGATGTTCTGTAGCATTTGTTCAACACCCTTGCCGTTTGATCTTGCCATGGGCTGAATGGATATTCATTTCCTTAATCAGAAATGTTCTCAGAATATTGATTCGTGTCACCCATAAATGGTATGAGCCATGGGTCTGACTCAGATCTGTAATTCTCTAATGAATGGCGAAAGAACATTCTGGAAGGGCTAGAGAGGCAGAAGTCTCCTTGCACACAGGAGCAACTGCCCCACTGCCTTCCCATCCAACACCAGCTCAGTTTTGGTTAAAAAGTAAATAAATGGACCCTTTGAAGCACCTAAGGCATAAAATAGCATTGGTCCTGAAGGAAAATCTATTACAGCCAAGATGTACTTTCCTTAGATAAAACAACTGACTGCTAGGAAATTGTTATATGCCATGTTTGGAGAAGTGTAGGTCAGCCGTGGGCTTACCTGGCTTTGGGCAGTCAGAGTTTTGGTCTATATAGACTGTTGTATTTGCTTCTGAGATTTGCAAATTGTATACGTGGATATGTGTGTTTTAAGTTTCCTCTCTTTTATGTTATATGCGGTTAATATGGACTGTTAGCAAACTGGGTTGGAAAACAAGGTTTTCACCACATTCTAGCCTTTTAATAATTGTAGAACATGAGACTCACGTAGGTCCTTTGACTATTCTTTGGTTTGAAAAAGGAGGAGGTTCATACCTAAATATTTACCTTCTTGGAAAAACTGTGGTTAGTAGGAGGGGCATCGCTGTTTGACACAAGCACAGTTCAGTCTTTATAGGATGGTGAAATTGTAGAACAGACCAGGAGTTTGGACTACATAAAGCATGTAGGAGAGCTCCCAAAAAGAAAATGGGGTGAGCACTTACAGAGCACCTGGGATGTGCCAGATGGAGCCAGCCCTGGAACATGAGGAAGGTGAACGCCCATAGATGTTTCTAGAGAAGCGATGAACTTGGGAGCCAAGGTAAGGCGACATCAGTCTTGGTTTCCCCAGGATCAATATTATGTGTGTTGTGCTGGCAGAATTAAGAACAGCACCTTCTTTGACTCTCAAAAGTGTCTTACCTAGGTAGTAAAATCGGTGGTGACCCTAATGATTAGTCTGTGCTCCATTTCCCTCCTTTCCTCTCCCAGATGTAAAATGAGACGAAGGTGATGTGATTTGCTTAAAGTCACACAGGAAGTGAGTTGTTGCCAAAGCTGGGACCAGGCCCTGACCCTCCTGAATCTAGTGTTCTTTCTGGTTACAAGTGTTAATTATCTTACTAAGCCTCCATTCAGTAGACTGCTCAGCCCTCCCTTGCCATTTGGCCCTGTTGGACATCTGGAAAGGGAAACTCCAGGAAGCCAGTTGCTATGAAATGGGAAAAACTACTAAAACGTGGATTGTTTCCTTTGGTTCATAGGCTCTAAAAAGGAAAAATATTTGTGGAAACCCAGCTGGGCAATTTAGGGCCTCCCATTGTTTGAAATATTTAGTAATAAAATCCAGAATAGATGGTACAGGAAGACATCTCTGAGGTGACATTTGGACCGAACCCTGAGTGATGAGGAGTCAACACATGGGAAAATGAAGGGCCGGAATGATCCAGGCGAAGGCAACGGCAGGTGCACAACTTCTAGGGAAACGGGTCTGATGTTGTCAAAAGTGGCTTGAACAGGGTGAAGGAGGAAAGGTCAGAATAAAGGAGGGAGAGAGTGGTGGTCAAGAGGCCATCAGAGGCCAGAGCATTGGAACTCCTGTGTGGTGGGTGGGCCATCAGTCCTCACACCGTCTCCGCCTGGGCACAAGGGAAGGGGTTAAGAACTTACAGCATTTTGACACGTTGGCAGCCTCAAGGCATGTGATTAACAGTAACTCACTTTTGTTGTGTTTCGAAGAACACTTGGTCCACAATGGATGGGGTGGGGTGGTGAGGACTGGTTCTTCACCACACACATTTTGAGAAGCATCATCTAGAGTTTCGTAAGCTATAGCAGAGTTCCCCGGGGAGGACTGGAACAAAGGCAGAAGTTTCAGCAGAGAGAGCAAATAGGGTCCTGTTACGGCACCTGGGTGGCTCAGTCAGTTAAACATTTGCCTTTGGCTCAGGTCATGATCCCAAGGTCCTGGGATCGAGCCCTCCATCGGGCTCCTTGCTCAGTGGGGAGCCTGCTTCTCCCCTGCTGGCCCTTCTCCCTGCTTATGCACCTCTCTGTCTCTCTCTCTCCCTTCCTGTGTGTCAAATACATAAATAAAATCTTAAAAAACAAAACAAAACAGGGTCCTGTTGCAGTAGTCAAGGGGAGTCATGGATGTGGCCTGGGCTGGGGTCTGAGAGAGAAGATAGAAACATGGTATTGTAGGGGTGTTGGATGAGTTGGGGTGGCCATGCAGAAAAGAGAGGAATTGATGGTGCCTTGGATTTTAGACTTGAGGAGCTAACACGGTATGCTCAATTGCTGCTTCACGGTCTTCGGTGTCCCTTCTCTCCTGCCCTGTCGAGGCTGTTCCATGGAGAGTAGAGCAGCGGCTGCTGGTGACCCCAGCTGGCCGTCTTCCTTTCTCTCCCTTTCATCTCATTTCATTCTGTTGACTGATCCGCTCTCTTATCCGGACTCCCTTTTTGACATTTTCTTAATCTGTTATCTGTGCTCTCTTAGCTTTCCTTCTCTTTCTGTCTTTCTTTCTTTCTTTCTTTCTTTCTTTCTTTCTTTCTTAAATACTTTATTTATTTGGGAGAGAGAGTGCACAAGCAGGGTGAGCTTTCCTTCTATTTCTAGCCATTCCTCTTTACTTTCCCATCATAAATGCAGCCTGCCTGGACCAGTCAGCTACCCAGCGCTTTCCCCAAATGCACATTTCTGTAACTGGAACCATTGGCACCATTTCACATTTATCCAGTCTGGAGACTTGGTGTCATTTGTGACGCTCCAGGTCTGCACAAATCTGTCATCTGCCAATTCTTCCTGTACAAAAAAGTCCATTGCATCTCTCCTCGTTTCCATGCCACTACCTCCTTCTGGGGACAACCCATGTATCACTTATCTTGTTTTTTTAAAGATTTATTTATAGGAGAGAGCGAATGAGCAAGAGTG